GCTCTTCCTGCAGAGCACTGCATTTTGGTGGTCCGGGTGGTCCTGCTCATGTGAAACTGGTGGTTGAGTGGGATGTGGACTCCAAAGAACGGTGAGTGTGTATGGCTCTGGAGAAGGCAGGTTGTGGTTAATCTCCCTAGGCATATATAACACAAGTGGACCCAGTAATTGTAAAGTTAATAACACTGAAAAAAATTACTGTACAAGTTCATAATATTAAATGCACATTAATAAGTCATATTGATTTTTACTTCATTTTAATAGGTGAACTTCTTCTGAAAGTAGAAGTCCATTTCCGATGCCAAGGATGTTAAATTCAAACAGGACAGACAGAACGTTTCGACTGAACGTCTTTTTCAACCGTCCTAACAAGAAGAAAATAGTTTTTTACAACAGGGGAAACATCCAGGACAACTCAACAACACATCAATTTGCTCAATAAAGTACAATTGTTTCAATGTACATACAGTTCGTTGTGTTATTCTCTACTTCATGTTTCCATTATAGGTACAAATTTTCTAAAGATAAAAACCACAATATCATCAAAATATTATCAATTTTACATGCATATTTAAAGCATGACCTCCATCCCTCCACCTAATACAAATAATGATAATTTCTTTCTTACCTACACTGGCTGAGAGCAGCTCTCACAACTTTACAACATTGTTTTCCGGATAGTAAATCTTAAACATACAGTTGCAAACAAGTTCCTTATATCTTATTCTACAAGTCACATGATATTAAGTACTGAGAAGCCACCTTACCAACACAATCAAAGTGCCTCAACATCCTTCTAACCGTATATTATAGATTTAAAACACTTATTCATGTTATATTTTCTCAAAGAATCGCACAAAAAGACTCGAAATCTAGCTGAATCGATGTTTTATTCGCCTAAGAAACATGATAAATCTAATGCAGCATTCAAGCCCCTAGGTTGTTCTGACTGGAGCTTAAATGTCCAAAACGCCTCTCTTTGCAGCAATAACTTTTTCAAGTCCATACTAGTGAAAGGTTTACTTTTCACTACCTCCAATACAAGACATTTAAAATCACCTGGGCCATGATTGAAATCCTCAAAATGCTGCACCATTGGGGCAGTAAGGTGTTTATGCTTAATTTTGGATTTGTGTTCCAAAGTGCGGGTTCTTAGTGCTCTTGATGTTTGCCCGACATACCTCATATTACATGCACATATCAATAGGTACACCACTGATTTTGTCGCGCAGGATGAGAAATGATGGATGGATTCTTTAAGGTTTATATCAGGAAAATCTAGCGTGTCAGTTTCCATCATTAGCGGACACGCCGCACATCTCCCGCAGCTGCGATGCCCGATCGGAATTTTGTTAGTTTCCTGTGTTTTAAAGGTGTCAGCCCTGACCAACTTGTCTCCAATATTCTGTGTTCTCCTAAAACCTATTTTTAAAGGCAGCTGACATGCCACAATGTCGTTGAGGATATGCCAGTGCTTCATGATTATCGCTTTGATGTTGAACGCCTTGTTTGTGAACTCTAATGCCCAATTTATCCTACCATCATAGGAATGCTCACTTTTATTTTTGAATAGATCTTTACGGTCTCTGCGTTCTACTCTAAAGCGGGCATTATTTATGATCCAATCAGGATATCCCCTATTTCGGAACTGTTCTATAGATAGACTCACAGAACATTTCCTGATATAAACCTTAAAGAATCCATCCATCATTTCTCATCCTGCGCGACAAAATCAGTGGTGTACCTATTGATATGTGCATGTAATATGAGGTATGTCAGGCAAACATCAAGAGCACTAAGAACCCGCACTTTGAAACACAAATCCAAAATTAAGCATAAACACCTTACTGCCCCAATGGTGCAGCATTTTGAGGATTTCAATCATGGCCCAGGTGATTTTAAATGTCTTGTATTGGAGGTAGTGAAAAGTAAACCTTTCACTAGTATGGACTTGAAAAAGTTATTGCTGCAAAGAGAGGCGTTTTGGACATTTAAGCTCCAGTCAGAACAACCTAGGGGCTTGAATGCTGCATTAGATTTATCATGTTTCTTAGGCGAATAAAACATCGATTCAGCTAGATTTCGAGTCTTTTTGTGCGATTCTTTGAGAAAATATAACATGAATAAGTGTTTTAAATCTATAATATACGGTTAGAAGGATGTTGAGGTTTTTTTCTTAAATACAAATTGATATTAAATAGCTCTGAGCCAGCCAATACAGACTACACGTTCTGCATCCTGTGTTAGGAGCTCATTGGCGTGGATGGAATGTGGGCTCTTCAGTGCACTTTTTTTCAAATGTTTTGCTTGCTCATCCTCTGCCTCTGATCACTACTGATTTTCCAGTGGTCTCATCATCAGAATGCCCAGTCTGAGCTTCATTATTTAGGCCAACTTCACACAAATGGGAAAGGAAAACTTTTATTAGATTGCAGCTGGAGTAATCGTGTAGTTGGATGCTACCCCATGATAATATAGATAGCTGTCTGTCTGCATAGAGCATGTGTACATTCAGTTATGCAGTCTCCTACTGGCTATCTAAAGTGGTCCAGTTCAAGACCAGGTTTATCTTCACATCTGCTTTTTGTGTGAACGAGGCCTTTCTTCTGAGGATTGGTTATAAATCCATGCTGAAAAACCGGCTATATGGACATTTCCAGTCCTGTGATTTTTAAACGCCCATCGATAGAAGTGATATTGCTTAGAACTCCCGTAGAACATTCCGTTGATTTAATTCAGATAAGTTTGGCATTTTAAGAAGATAAGATCTGAAGCTTCATAAGAAACCTGACTTTGAAAAGAAAGTGAGTGAAAGCTATCCTAGGTGGGCTCCCAAAATCCCTTCTGATCTTGAGAAACTGTGCACTGTTATCCCAGGACAGCATCATCTTCTGCGTGAATCTAAATTAATCTTTATTGGATGGGTGCCTTTGCTAGTGAGTAGCAGCAGGTCTTGGCTTTTGTGCCTGGCATTGAAGTTTCATCACACAATTCTTAGCTGCTTCAGGATTCTAAGAGTTAATGCATCACTGGGAAAGAGCTACAGATTGCTAAGAGGACAAATGCCTGTCACTACTGACCTGCTCACCTGTAATTTTGCAGTTTGTTTGGCAACATCCAGGAGGAAGTGGTTGAGGATGCAGAAAGTGTGAGGCTGAAGCAGCAGCTCCATCAACAGCAGCCCAGCTGCACTCTGGATGAATGTTTCCAGCTTTACACCAAGGAAGAACAGGTATGCATCAGCCAGGCCCATTGGGATGCAGGTGGAGGTGGCTAAAGCAGGTAGATCCTTTTTGTCCGGTGGATCCCAAAGCCATTTGCTTCCTGAAGATGAAGGAAAGTGCCCATTGGGTTGCCCCAGACTCTTCCACTTTGAGGTATTCTTTGTTTAGCTTAACTAATTCTGGTTCTGGGAGAGATGAACATTGACTTCAGTACTGTTTCCCTCTTGTACAAGTGGTCACTGGATCTGTTTCAGGATCTAAGCCTCACAAACCCATGGGAGGCTAAACTGTCTCTTTCTTTGCAGCTGGCCCCTGATGATGCTTGGCGCTGCCCCCACTGTCAGGTGCTTCAGCAAGGCACTGTGAAGCTCAGTCTGTGGACACTTCCTGATATCCTCATCATCCACCTGAAGCGCTTCCGGCAAGTGGGCGGACAGCGCCATAAACTCACCACAGTTGTGCACTTCCCTTTGTGGGGGCTTGACATGGCTCCCCATGTGGACAAGCGCTGTCGTGGCAGCAAGTGGGGGCCCTGGAAGCACACCAACCCAGAAAGCAGTCAGTGTAACTTCCTGTATGACCTCTATGCCGTCTGCAATCACCATGGCAGCCTGCAGGGCGGGCATTATACAGGTGCGTGTGCTGGGAGCGGGCACTTCAGGGGCAAGCACATCACAGAATAAGTGGTGCTTAAAGGGATGAGTTTGCCCAAAGTGGGCATTGCCTCCTCACAGGCAGTTTTTGAATGCTAGAATTAGTATTTTCATTTGAATAGGGCAGTGTGCAGGTCTGTTCTAAGGGGGGGGGGTGGAATCCAAATTCCATTCTTAGAGAAGTTAATGATTTTTCAAGCTCAGTAAATTTTGCCAACACAAATACATACACACAAATGTTCTATCCAGTGGCCTGGCCTGACTGACTAGAAAAGTATTCTACATGCCTGTGAATTCCCCTCCTCCTGCACGGATGCTCCAGCATAAGCTTAATAATAATGTACTGGTTGCCCTCCATCTCTAAGAGATGGATGAGGCTGCTTGGAATCTGCTGTGCAATAGAGACCTAGTTGTTACCTGCCAGTGCCCCATGCTTTCTTCAAGCCCTGCTAATGAGTTGCCCACTCTCTCATCAGCCTACTGCCGCAATGCCTTGGATGGTCACTGGTACAGCTATGATGACAGCACTGTGGAACCAATAATGGAGGATGAAGTCAGCACGCGAGCTGCCTACATTCTCTTCTACCAGAGACGCAGTTTGACTCCAGGCTGGTCTGGAGGAAGCTCTCTTAGAGGTTGGTCGGGATGGTGGGGAACCATAGCCTGTTTTTAGGTACTGCTGCTTATTATTTCTTTGACATAGATCAGCTCCATGTCATTTGCTAGTGACACTGATATGCACCTAAGAAATAGTTCTAAATTGGAGACCAAGCCCTATGAGAAAAGGCTGAGGGACTTGGGAATGTTCAGTCTGGAGAAGAGGAGTATTTAAGTATTTAAAGTATTTAAAGGGCTGTCACTTAGAGGAGGGCAGGGAGCTGTTCCTGTTGGCAGCAGAGGATAGGACTCACAATCATGGGTTGAAATTAAGGGCGGGAAGGTACTAGCTGGATATTAGGGAAACCTTTTTTTGTGGTAAGAGTTATGTAACAGTGGAATCAGCTGCCTAGGGAGGTGGTGAGCTCCCCCTTACTCACAGTCTTTAAGCAACAGCTGGACAAACACTTGTCAGGGATGCTCTAGGCTGATCCTGCATTGAGCAGGGGGTTGAGCTAGATGGCCTGTATGGCCCCTTCCAGATCTGTGATTCTATGATTCTAAATGGTCATTCACCTGGAGATTAGGGCAGAGCTCTTGAGACTTATGCTGATGTAAATAATGGATATGATCATTCACTGTAAAGGGATTGTTTGCAAACCTGTATCAACTTTACACAGGAAGGTTCCACAAGAGAGTCCTCCAGTTTTTAAGGATCACAAGCTCAAATAAGGAATAATGCTGTACGAAATTTTTGTTGCATTCATTTTCCAATGCAAAAGTTGCTGTTTTCAGAGGGAGAGGAGCAAAAGTATCGATGAATAAAATCCTGCCTTCCACTGTTTTCCACATGTTTTAACATTTGTTTACAGCGGTCCCCCTGATCAACTGGTACTTTTGTGCCATTTTAAAATATATGAAAGGTTTCTGTGTTGTGTGATCCCAACCATTTATCCTTCTGTTGTATGTAAGCCCTGCCCTTCTACCAAAGTGATCAGGGCAGAATAACAACAAAATTACAATACAGATTTATAAGCAATCAGCAATACATTATAAAATGTTTAGCAGCAGCTTATAACTATACTAACCACCAACCCTTATAAAAATCTGCAGGAAAAAGCGTAAAAAGCTAAACAGATAAAACCATCTAATCAGCAATAAAATTGTAAAAGAGGACAAAAATAAAACCCAGGAAGCAGCCGGGAGAGCAAGCTGACAAACAAAACCCAGAGAATAGCACTAAAATCAATAAGACTGATTTCATTCATTGCTAGGAGGCCAGCAGTTATTAAGGGGTTTGATTGGGCCTCTTGGGGCAGGGAGTTCTGGAACCTGGAAGCCCAACACCTTTTCTATATGTCTGCCAATCTGAGATGGGTACACAGAGTATGGTGGCTCCAGGTGGGCAGATGGGCAGATTCATAAGGGCACAGGTGATCCCAGTCCCTCAAGTATCCTGGTCCAAAGTGCTGCTGTTGAGTTTTAAAGCTCCTAACACCAGCACTTTGAATTGGGCCTGGATACAGATTGGAAGCTAGTGCAATTGATTTAAAAATAGGAGATGGGGTTCATCCCCACCAACAATCAACCCCTTTGTACACCCATTTGCAAAGGGATGTGTAAAATCATTTGGGGGCATATGTAATGGAGGAGATGGCAAAAACGTTTGCAAAATGTGACTTCTCCATTGCAAATCATCACTAGTCAGGGAGGCACTGTGTTCTGTGTGAAAAATCTGCAGACCCATCTATAGAGTGTGTTGAGCAGGATATGCCATATCCAGTCATCCTTAGTCTGTAAATGTCACTAGGAGTGGACCAGCCATTTAATTTACAGGGAAAGTTCCTGGAGGGCCACTGGCAGCCAAGAGTAAGCAGAGCCAGGCCCATCAGCTCTGCTAGTGCTGTGGGGGCCACTTGGCTCAGAGCCTCCACTCAAAAGCGATCACTTCCCATGCTGCCACCAGCTGCCTCCTGGGCTATTATAATTCCCCCAGTCCACCTGTGAGTGCCACAAATGATAACAAAGACCAATTTGCATAACAGTGTAGGACAAAGAATGAGTTTAGTAATGCTGTAAGAGAAGGCTGAAAACATCCAAGGTCACCAACCCATTCGACAGCCAATTATATTAACAATACTAATTACTGCATTTGTATCCTGCCTTTCTTCTAAAGAGCTAATGGTAGTGTACATGGGGATTTCCCAAAAGGTAGGTTAGGCTGAGAGATTGTGACAGGCCCAAGGCCAGCTTTCTGTCTGAGCTCAGTAGTGCATCTTCTAAATCACCCTGGCTTTCTGTGTAATAATGCTTCCAGTCCTAAGCATACTCATCTTTTGCCTCTGTGAATACAAATTCAACCCGGTGCTGAGTTGATCCTGGAGCATATTCTTTAGGACGAAACCTTTTTTCTGGGTAAGGTAGTTGAGACAGCGGTGGCTGAACAGGCTTTCTTGGATGATGCATCCTTGACCCCTTCCAGTCCAGTTTCCGCCCTGGTCATGGGACAGAGACAGCTCTGGTCGCCCTCACGGATGACCTCCAGGGGCACATGGATCAGGGCAGGTAGGCACTGCTGCTATTCTTAGATCTGACGGCGGAGTTCAACACAGTTAACTATGATCTTATGATCTACCACCTTGCCGACATTGGGGTTTGGGGGACTGCCCTTCAGTGATTTTCCTCCTTTCTCCGTGGTCATGGACAGAGGGTGGCGCTTGGCAAGAGGATCTCCCTGTGACACCCACTTGAATGTGGTGTGCCGCAGGGGGTGATCCTCTCACCAGTGTTGTTTAACATCTATATGCACCACCTTGCCCAATTGGTCCAGGGGTTTGGGTTAGGTTGTCATCAGTATGCAGATGACACCCAACTCTATCTGTTATTGGACGGCTGCCCGGATTCCACCCCAAAGATTCTGACTGGGGCATTGGAGGCTGTGGCTGGCTGGTTGCACCAGAGCCGGTTGAAACTCAATCCAACGAAGACGGAGGTCCTGTACCTGATTCGGGGGGGGGGTGTAAGATAGGGATTGGGCTGCCCACCCTGGATGGTGTGCCACTTGCACCAGCCCAGAAGGTGATCGTGGATGCCTCACTTTCTATGGAGGCCCAGTTCACCGCAGTTGCCAGGTCTGCCTTTTTCTATCTCCAGCAGATCAGGCAATTGGCCCCCTACCTCTTCCCCCAGGACTTAACTACCGTGACCCCTGCAATGGTCACTTCCAGGCTTGATTACTGTAACTTGCTTTATGTGGACTTTCCCCAGAGACTGATCCGGAAACTCCAAGTAGTCCAGAGTGTGGCAGCATGACTGCTGAGAGCATTGCCTGTACAGGCATGCATTCGGCTCGTATTTTGCTGCTTGCACTGACTACTAATTGAGTATGGGGTCCATTTCAAGGTGTTGGTATTAACTTTCAAAGCCTTACAGAGCCTGGGACCAACATATCTGAAGGTCCCCATCTTCCCATAATTGCCCCAAAGAGCCTTGCGCTCACAGGACCAACATTTACTGGTTACCGGCGGCGCACTTAGCCTCAGCCAGGCCTTTTTCCATCCTGTTCCTGGCCTGGTAGAATCAGCTCCCACTGGAGAGCAGGTCCCTACAGGACCTTTTATCTTTCCACAGGGCCTGCAAAACAGAGCTGTTCGCCAGGCCTTCGGTTGAGGCGGTGGGCGTCCATCTCAGTTGGCCTTCCTGCTTTAGTTTCCCAACCTGCTGAAGGTGCCCATCTGATTCCACCTTGTGATCTAACAGATTTATATTGCTGCTACCAATTTTATTGTTTCTAATTTTTATGATTTTAGTGTAATTTTATTGTAACAAGTCTTTGACTCGATGTGTTGTGATCCTCCCTGAGCCCATTTGGGGATGGCGGAATAAAAATCAGGGCTATTTTTGGGCAGGAACGCATAGGAATGGAGTTCTGGTTGGCTTCAGAGTTGGCCACGCCCACTACAGCCAAAACCTCTGCGTGCGTGGCTACAGAGGGGAAGGCCAGGAGAGTGACCACCCCCTGTCGACTCCAAGGTGGGTGGACCAGTGAGGGCTCTGGAAGGATTGGGAAGGATAGCCCAGCCTGTCCAAGGGCTAGCTTGTCCGGGCTCACGGCAGCCGCGGGGTACCCAAGCAAGCCAAGGGAAGGCAGTTTAAACCTCCTTCCCTTCAACGGGGGGCTTGCTCAGGCTCCCCACAGCCGTGGGGCACCTGGGCAAGCCAAGGGAAGGCATGGGGTGTGGCCTAATATGCTAATGAGCTGTGCTGTCAGGGATGTGGCCTAATATGCTAATGAGCTGTGCTGTCAGGGATGTGGCCTAACCTAATATGCTAATGGAGTCCTGCTGAGCTTTTTCTACCAAAAATCCCTGAAAATCCCTAAATAAACAAATAAATAAAATCCTCCCTTGGGGTCGTCTCCCAATTCCTCAGAGGATAAAGGAAAACCTTAAGAGGAAATCTTAAGGGGGGGGGGCACAACATCCTGGGCCCGACATAACATCAATGAAGCTCTCACTTACAGGCTTATGCAAAGCACAAAGCTGGGACTAATTAAATAGGATTATTCAGCATTTGCTATGAGACATAATAGCTAGCTCTGCTCTTTTTGGCATTGATTAGGCCTCAGTAGAAAGATGGCATCCAGATTTAGGCTTTGCTCTTCAAAAAATGGTCAAGAATGCAGCAGAGATTGTCAAGCCCTGACCTGGAGAATAGCAAAGCCCATCAACAAACTCAACATGGGTGGTCAAACTGCAACTCGGGAGCCGCATGTGGCTCTTTCACACAGTCTAGTTTAATGTTAATAAAAAGCAAATTTGCATATTTTTCAATAAAAACATGTGTGTAATATTGGTTCACTAGGAAAAAGGCCCGTTGTGGAAATAAATACAACGACCTCTAGAAAGAGGCTCTGGGCGGGTGCCCTGGCCTTGGACACTCAGTATCAATTTGCTGTGGCGACTTCAGCAGGGTATAATGACACTGAGTCCACCATTTTCTCCAGAGGAACTGATCTCTGCTACCTAAAGAACAGTTGTAATTTTGAGTGCTCTCCAGTCTTCACCTGGAGATTGGCAACGATGGTTCCCCAGAAGGGAATAGTTGGTTTGGAGGGTGGAGTCTATGGCTTTGTACCTCTCTGAGGTCCCACGCCTCCTGAAACCTCACCCTCTCAAGGCTCCATCCCTCACATCTCCAGGAATTTCCCACCTGGAGTTGGCAACAGTGTTCCTTCTAAGCTGAGGTAGTGTGAGCTAGCTCACACCTTTTTGTTTTAGCTCAGGAAGGACGGCTCTAGAGCCGTCTGGAAAGCAGTTGTAATTCTGAGTGATCTCCAGCCCTCACCTGGAGATGGACACATTTTACCTCAGAACATCAAACTGTTTAGAATGTTAGAGGCAAAAGCCAATCAAGTCGCATATGCAAACGACCTCTGTGTTCCGAGGCAGAGGCCAATGAGGCTGCATATGCAAATAACCTCTGTGTTCTGACTGGCTATGGGGGGGAGAGGAACTGCAGAATGTTTAGAATGTTGGAGGCAGGACTCAGGCAAAGCAGCCAGTGGATAGGGAGACCCTCTGAATGACAGATCAGAGAGCGAACTGATTTTGGAGCGTGTGGAATGTTCTAGAGAAGTGCCACCACCATTCGGCTTTTATTTATAAGGGAGATGTCTTGCAGCTCTCAAACAACTGACGTTTATGCAAGTTTGGCCACCCCTGCTCTAGACCAAGGAAATCCAAGGCCACTGGATAGAACAAACAGTGATAATTAATTTAGCATTATGACTTTTCATAATGTATTCTGACTAACATTTTTAAGGTTTGGTTTAAAAAAAACACAAAAACTAGGGAACCACACAGTGGAGATAGTGGCTAAGTAGGGAAGGAAGATCCCAGCTGAGAATAGGTGGCTGCCAGCCACAAGTCCCTTAGCTTGGTCATTTGGCAGCATGCTTCAGTAGTGCCTGGAAGTTTGTTGTTTATGCAAGGGGTGAATAATTCTGCTGGGTTTGCTATTATACAATCAAACATCCACCACCCAGTATATCAAAATCAATAAATACCAACTGGGGAAATGGCTATCATATGCAAACTAATTATATTGAAAGTGTACAATAGGTATTACAAATATAAATACATAAATTATAAATCCAAAATTATACAAATCCGCAATACAGTTTTCACAGGTTATTTCACAGGTATTTTTCTTTTCATAGGTTAGGGTTCAGCACTCACTTACAGTGCCCAGGAGCAAATGTGATCCAGGATCAAGGAATTGTGGCCCACCGTTATTTACAATATTTATTTACAAAATTTCTACCCTTTCTGCCCTAATAAGGACCACCAAGGCAGATAATAAATTAAAAATATACATAACAAAATTGCATTTTAAAAATGATTAAAACCAACAAAAACACATAATTAAAACCAGAGCTAAAACACACATATGAAAACATAAAAAACATGAAAACATAAAAACAACAGTTAAAACATTGGGTGGGAAGGAAGGATAACTGAGGGAACACCAAATTAAATGGGAAAAAAACATTCCCGCTAGTGGAAGATGGCAACAGAAGGGGACAGGCAAATGTCCATGGAGAAAGAGTCCCAGAGTATTAGTGCCATTACTGAGAAGGCCCTTTCCTGGATTCCCACCCACCTAGTACCTGAAGCAGCACCTCCAGAGATGACCATAGCAGTTGGGTAGGTTCATAAGGGAGTAGGAGGCTATTTTCAACACCAGTAGAGCTGCAGAGTCCCTGGGAAAGGCTCTCATTACACTTTTACTCTGGTTTTCCTTGCAGGTTCTACTAGCTGCTCCGTTTCTGAACACTGGCTGGCCCGGCTTGGGGGAAGCAACAAGCGTGAGAGCCTGGTGTCCTGGAGCTCTGCAACATATCCATCACTGCCCAAAATGTCTAACTCACCCTCCCTTACCAGTCCTGGCCTCATGCATAAGAAAGGTGCTTACTCTCCACTGTCTAACTGGGGTGTGTGTGTATACACACGCACACACACATGTGCATGCACAGTCCTTTAAGCACAACGTCCATCCCATTCTCCAGTTCCCTGGTTTCTGTCTGGCCGTCAGGTAGGATACAACTTGAAGACCATTGCAAGAATCTGGGCTTCTCCCCTTGAGCCTCTGTCGAGTGCCAGATTGGCAGATAAACCCATCAAGCCATACATATATACACTATATACACTATAGGCTCTCTGTCCTCTGACTGTCTGTCCACTGCACTTTTCACTTGGCTCCATTTCACGGTGCCCAGACCAGATGTTCCTCAGTGTCCTCATTCTCAACCACCAGCTCTTTGCTTGGGCCTCCCACAGGCACATGTAGTCCCTCTACTGGATCGAACTTCCACACTCCCATGTGGGAGCATGTTTGGCTCCACCAACTTCTTGAGGAACCCTGGATCTCCTACCAATCTTATTTCCTTTCTTTTCCAGGTGGCTTTGACTCACGGCCCCTTGTGAGGGGTGTCCAGGGAAGGAGTGTCAGCCTGAAAGCATCCCCCAGCAAGATCAAACTGGGAGTCCCAAAGCCCTTGCCCTTGCGTTGGTCCTTCACCTCCAAAGATTGGCCAGCGCAGCCCTCTGGGGAATTGGTAGAATATTTGGAGTCTGGCCGCAGACCTCAATTCACTAACAGATCCATTCTTCCTCTTATGACCAAGGAAGTGGAGGACAGTGGGCTGTCAGTCACCAAAGCCAAGCTGAATCCTGTACTGACAGGAATGGGCACCACTGGGAGTGCTGGCAAAGTACCCACTGCTGTAGAAAACCCTAGCATCCTGAAGAGGACAGGGAAGCCAAAGGAGGATGTAGGTGAGCAGCCACGGACACCCAAGAAACTGGTGCTTTCTCTCAGCATGGTACTTCCAGCAAAAGATGAGGAACCTAAAGGCAAAGCGAGCATCAATGGGATCTTGCACACTGGGACAAACATGCCCCTATCCAGCTATCAATCCAAGGACAGAGGGGCCCAAGACCAAAAGGTCATGCCTTGTGTTGGGGACAGGGAGCCTGTGGGTGAGAGACAAACAGAGGGGAAGCTGGCTCTCTTTAAGACTGGCTTCCTCCGAAGGGACCCCAAGCAACATAGTAAGTCTGACAGACATGGCACATTGACACGGACCATGGGCTTCTCCCAGGCATCGCTACCCAATGGCACTTTGAATTCCATCACTGGAGGCAGGGCAAGCAGTGTGCTAGGCCGTAGCTTGACAGAAGGGCTGCCCAATGGGCGGATTTGCCATTCTGAGTTGGACATCAAGCGTGCTCAGAGCTCCTGCAGCAGCAAAGGGAAGAATGACTGGGTCTTGAGCAGGTCAACCTCCTTAGGTAAAACAACCTGTAGTGTTCCTTTGCAGGGTTATACACAACCACTAGCTCTAGATGGAGTTTCTTGTGGCACTCTCCAGCAGGCAAGGTACCAGACAGCATCCCTGGGCAGGAGGACAGCTGTACCAGAATCCAGCTTCTGAACTTCCCTGTGGTTACAGCTGGAGGTACCAAGAGTGCCAGTTCTTGGTGCTTATAGGGTCTCAGGGCCTTGGGGTAAGATCTGTCAATTGCTAGGAGGCTTGACTGGTGCTTTTCTCATGGGGAAGAGGCTTCTCCCAATCAAGAGCTGTCATATTCAATGGGTGCTGAAGAACATCTTTGCCTTGCCAGGGAATGTGGGTGAAATGGGGACCTTGTGGTCTATGGGGTTAGAATGAGAAAGAGAGAAGTCATATGGAGAGTCTTAGAGTTAAAGTATTTATTGTGTACAGAGAAATAATTTTACTGATGCTAATGAGAGGATGTGCTGTTCTGTGACAGCCATTATTTTGGTATCTGGTTATGGGAAAGGGAATACTACACTGGGAAAAAAATCTAAACATTGCTCTATGCAATAATCCTGACTTTTCTATTTTGTGCAGACCTTTGGGTTTTACAGACTTACTTGTTATTAAAATGTCTCAAATGTTTGTTGAACCTCTGTGTTTTTGGAAATCAGGGTTGGAAATGGGTCAGTCTTGGGGGTAAACATGGGTTCTCTCTTAGCTGGAATGTTCAGCCAAAGGGGTGAGACTATTTTTTCTTGTGTTCTGACTGACTGGAAAACAAAGACTGCAACATTCTTCTGGAAGCCTGGAATGTTTAAATCCACAGGGATAAAGGAATTGTAGATTATGCCCACTTCCTGTAGTGTCTTCCTGCTTACCAGTTTATGAAGCTTCTGTGCCCTCTGGCATTTCCAAACTGCCTTGTGGGCTGCCTCAGCAACATGCTGCTTTCTGTCATTTGGTAACACCCCCCCTCCCGGGAACATCTGCGTAGATGCCTTTTAGTGTATCATCCACTTCCAAGATACTCTGGAGTTTCATGGTCCAGAATGGTTGCTTCCTGTGCCACACCCAGTATCCTCACTGCATGTATTATATGTGGGCACCCATGGATAATGAGTAGAGGAAGAATATTTATTTACTTCAATTATATCCTGACTTTCTCCCCAATGTAGACCCAAAGCAGCTTACATTGATCTTCTTCATGGTCTCTGTGCATCACACCTCTGGGATATAGTGCACCTGCACCGACCTCGATTGGTACTTCTTAGAAAGCAAAAGGGATTTTCGTACCCGCTCCCCAGTCACGTGCCAGCCCCACTGAGCATGACTAGGGGAGCGGCACGACAATCCCGCCAGTTCTCTTCTGACCACCGCACTGGTAGGATCTTCTCTGCTTCGGTCGGTAAATTTCTGGCTTTAGGGCCTATTCTTCTCTTCTGAGTGTTTTCTTTTTCTGTAAGTGAAAGGACAATATTGTTATCGGATTTTGGGGTTTTTTTTACTTGTGTGTTTGGGTCTCCCTGCGAGGCTTCTCACACACACACCCCAGCCTATGGGAGTTTTTTTAAGGTGGGGTTTCTTTAAACAGTGCCTCAAGTGAGGTAGTAAAATTCCCCCCCTGATGGACACTTGCTTTGCCTTCTGTGCCTTGGGGAATCACACCGAGTGGACTCTTGTGCCCATTGCACGAAGTTCTCGAAGCAAACGAGAAAGAACTTCGTGTCCCAGTTTTGGAGTTAGCACTCTCACCGATGTCATCATCACAGGACACTTCGGGACATGCATCAATGTCGACACCCGCCTCGGCATCAACGGCTATGGTGTCCCTGGTACCGACTCACTCAGATATCGACTGCCTGATGCTGAAGCGCTCGGCCCAGGCATCTCAGTCCGAAGCCCATACTGCCTCCAAAAAATGCAGGGAGGGCAAGGACGACCGGCCAGTCAAGCACAAGAAGCATAATAAAAACCCCTCAGCGCAAACTCCACTGACCCCTCGGAGGGCCACGGAACCTAATCCTGTTGGGGCTGCTTCGCTTGACTCCACGGGCTGTGAACAGCAACAAGGTGTACCCCTATCACCTTCACTGTGTCCTATCCAGCTCACTGACTCTGAGCATGATATGGACTTAATGCAGATCTCCTGGTCTTTCATTGTTGAAAGCGTGCACTCAGACCTTCGTGTGCCCTTCACCACTCCGTCCTGACGATGAAGACCAGCCATCGGGACCGATCTACTCGCCGCCACCCCCATGGGTTCAACAGCAATGGCAATACATGTATGGGGCCTATCCCTTCACAACCGGCATGCCATGGTTCCCGCCCCAACCAGTGGAATGGGATTGTCAATCCACTTCCTCCTCACTTTCTCGGTATCGAGATCCTCTCCTGACGCTGGAGTTTGTGAAACCCCAGCTGTCGAGACCGACAGGCAGAACAACCAAACCACCGCCCCCAATAGCACCCAAGTTTAAAGATCCATCAGAACCGATCCCATCAACACCAATGCTGCCTATTTCTTGTTCCGAACCATCTGAGCATTTCGCTTCTTCTGATACCTCCTCCCATTCAGGGGACGAGGACCTCGACCCTCCGGTGGAACCCTCGCCACCTCAGCAAGTGAGCAATGATCTCCCAGTTTCTCAGTCGGAGGATCTACAATACTATGGGGAGCACCCAAGTTTAAAGATCCATCAGAACTGATCCCATCAACACCACACACCCCAAGAAAGAGTTACCCTATTTCTTGTTCCGAACCATCTGAGCATTTCGCTTCTTCTGATACCACCTCCCATTCAGGGGACGAGGACCTCGACCCTCCGGTGGAACCCTCGCCACCTCAGCAAGTGAGCAATGATCTCCCAGTTTCTCAGTCGGAGGATCTACAATACTATGGGGATTTCATCAAGCAGATGGCCAACATTCTGACCCTGTCTACTGTGCAACCCCCACCTACAGTAACAGACTCTGTGTTCGATATTGTGCAGATGGACACCTTGACACCGATAGCCTTACCAATGACTTCAGTCTTGTAACAGGCGGCCAAGGTTCCGTGGTCTCATCCGGCTTCCACCCCCGTCTCTAGCCGGAGAGTAGATCACATGTATAAGGTGCAAGAGCAGGGCGCTGATTTTTTATTCACACACCCCAAGCATAACTCGGTGGTAGTCACCTCCTCTTCCAAAGGCAAACACAGTCATTCCACACACCCCAAGAAAGAGGGAAGGAAACTAGACTCGTTTGGAAGAAAATTTTATTCCACTGGAGCACTTGACATCAAGACTTTGAACTGTATTGCATGTATGGGGATATAGCAGTTTGCCCTCTGGGAAACAAATGTCTGAATTTATTGCAGCCCTTCCCAAGGACTTTAACCATCAAGCTTGCAAAATTCAAAATGAAGGCATGCTCTTGGTTAAGCACCAGCTCAATGCAGCTAAGCACACGCTGGATGTGGTGGCCAAAACACTGGCTTCAGCAGTTACCCTCAGGCGTCATGCCTGGTTGCGTTCCACAGCCTTGTCACAGGATACTAAAACTCTGATTGAAGATGTTCCATTTGAGGGTGATGGCCTTTTCAGTTCCATGACTGATACTGTCTTTCAAGATCTAGACAAAAACATCAAGACATCTCATAATTTAGGGGTCACGTCAGCTCCTAAACAAAACAAAACAAAACCCTGGAACAAGTCATGGTCCCACAGATCCTGTCTTAAGTCCTCTCCAAAGATGTAATGGCAATGGTCACCCACTGTGTCTTCTCGCCCTTATGGGCACAAACCTAAGTTTTCATCTGCCACCCATTGTAGGGCTAAGACACCTAAAGCTCCCATGCAAAGCCTTTGACTCAAGTCATCTGCCTTTACCCCCCACCCACCTATCTCCTTACCTGGCTGCTTGGCAGCGAATAACATCAGATCGGTGAGTGCTCTATGTTATCAAGAAGGGGTACCTCATAGAATTTATCCAGATGCCTGAGGCCCCCAATTTTATGCTTACTCCACCATCCAGCATGCTCCTGGAAGAAATTCAAAACCTCCTTCAAAAGGACGCTATAGAACCAGTTCTGATGACGCAACGTCACAGCAGGTTTTATTCCCGTTATTTTACAGTCCCCAAGAAGGACGGAGGATTCCGTCCTATTATGGACTTCAGGAGACTCAACCATTTTATTTCTTATTGGAATTTCCGCATGTCAACCTTGCAAAGTATTCTCCCGCTTCTCAGCAAAGACGTCTGGATGGTAACCCTGGACTTGCAAGACGCATATTTCCATATCACTATCCATCCATCCCACAGAGGGTTTTTGCGTTTTGCGGCCAGGACGGCCATTTTCAATACAAAGTCCTCCCCTTTGGGCTCTCAATAGCGCCCAGAGTCTTCACGTTGATGGGGTCCGAACTGGCAGAGACTGACCAAGAGAGAGATCTTGGAGTCGTAGTAGATAACTCACTGAAAATGTCGAGACATTGTGTGACTGCAATAAAAAAAGGCCAATGCTATGCTGGGGTTTATTAGGAAGGGTATTGAAAACAGATCAGCCAATATCATAATGCCCCTATATAAATCAATGGTGCAACCTCATTTGGAATACTGTGTACAGTTCTGGTCACCACACCTTAAAAAGGATATTATACCTTTGAAAAAAGTGCAGAAAAGGGCAACTAGAGTGATAAAGGGTTGGAACACTTTCCCTATGAAGTAAGGTTAAAGCAGTTGGGGCTCTTTAGCTTGGAGAAATGTCGGCTGAGGGGTTTTTTGGCCACTGTGTGACAGAGAGTTGGACTGGATGGGCCATTGACCTGATCCAACATTGGCTTCTCTTATGTTCTTATGTTCACAAAAAAGATTATTGTCAACGCGGCCTACCTCCGTCTCCAGGGTGTGCAGATCTTCCTGTACATCAATGACTGGTTGCTGGTAGCAAACTCTAGAGAGACTCTGCTCAACCATATCAATTTGATGTTGGTTACCCTGAAAGCCCTGGGCCTGAGGGTGAACTGAAAAAAGTCAATGCTCTGTCCCTCGTTAAGAGTCCAATTCATCAGGGCGATCTTGGACTCAAAGGTCTGCCAAGCCTTTCTTCCTCTCATGAGGGCAGATGACATCATCACTCTTATCGGCCTAGTGAAGAAACGGATATGCGTCGGCAAAACAGATCCAACGACTCCTAGGGTGATGGCCGGCCCCACAGTGGTACTTGTCTTCGCCAGACTACAAATGAGACCACTTCAGCTGTGGTTCCTCAAGAGTTTCCATCCACAACAACAGCCCCAATCTGAACAATTCGAACTCCCTGCACAAGTGCTGGCCTCCCTGAAGTGGTGGGAAACCTCAGGAAACCTTCTTCAGAGAGCCCCATTTCATGCACCCAGTCCCAAAACGACCCTCACCACGGATGCATCCCTGTGGGGATGAGGAGCACATCTCAAAAGTGTGTGCATAGGCGCCAGGTGGGAACCTCATGTGGCCCACAAGCACATCAACGTTTTGGAACTGTTGGCCATCCAATATGCCTTCAGGTCCTTTTG